GATGTGAAACTCGGGGGTGCATAGTGAGTGTGAAGTAGTGATGTGAGCGTATGGGGGGGGCGTATAGTGAGAGCAGTTGAAGTAGTGGTAGTAGAATAGGATGTTGGTTTGTAGTTAGCATTATATGTGTTATTAGGTATTTAGTAGGAGCTATAGTAGACAAGGTAACATTGAGGGTGTGCGGTGCGTGTGTGTAATATTAGTAACTTACTGCTACCGGGTACAGCAGTTTTCTTGATTAGGCCTCCGTGTGTATTACTATGTACTGGGATTATAGGGTATATTTGAGACTAGTATCCCTCTACTTAGTAGCTAGTTAACGTGTGTGGTGTCTGGGGGGATTGAGTTACTCTTTACTAATCACTGGGTATGATTGGTGACGTGTGGTGGGGTGTGGGTATATGAGTGAGAGGGGTGAGTTCGTAGTGGTGTGTGTGTGGGAGTACAATTGTATGCTCGGCAGTTCGGGGTGGGAGTAGTGTTAGGTGTATAGTAGGTAGCGTATATGAGTCGCGTCGAGGTCTTTGGGTGGTTGGGGGTGGGGCGGGGGCGGGCGGCGGGTGGGGGTCAGGTGGGGGGGGGGGCGAGGTGGGGAGAGGGGAGCGCGGAGGGGGGCTGGCAGGGGGAACGAGGCGGAGCAATTCACGAGTCACGAACGGCTGATTTTCGGGTATTCGGGACATCGATAGTTCTCTGGTCGCTGTTGGCGCCGTAGCCGGAGTGGAGCAGCTCCGTGAAGTCACGGTGAATTCTTCGCGGAACAGAAGTTTACGCGTTTCCAGGCTTCGCACGTGGATGATCGACCGGTTAGCACTTCTGGCCACATGTTGAAGTGCTTTGGGTTGGGGTGGGGGGTACTATGGCAGGAATACGATGAGCAAGATAACGGCTGACATGAGACGCGTACCGCGGCGTGTACATTATCGACGAATAGGCGCGAAGGACGAAGATTCGCTAGTTATATCAGGATTCTCTGAGAACTCAGCAGTCAACGCGTGACGCATGAGCGCTTATATATTGTTAACAATGTCAACAAAAAACTCCGTTATTACAGAAAAGAAAGCGCGCCTAGTAGCCTACGAAAGAGTGGCAGCATTTCTAGCCTGTCTCTACATAACTGGGTAGTGAGATCCCTCGTGCAATGGGCAGAACTGCTCAATTCATCGAAAAGCCGGCTTCAAGCCTCTCCTAGAAAGGACCGGAATACTTGCGTTGGGTAGAGGGCAGCGACATTGCAAAAGTGGCCGCTACGCGGCGTTTGAGCGCTTCGCGCGGATATCCGGCTGCAGATCGTCCAGGAATTGTGGAAGAGAGGAGACCTGTGAATGTAGTAGAATGGGAGGGGGCACTCCACCACACGTTTTTTTTAGAATTGCGTTTGCAACCCAATGGATTTTGACCATATATATATATATTAAAAGATTTTATTGACTGAATTGCTCGATTTTAAAATAAAACAAGTTTTAGCCGCATACTGATAAAACTGGCATTTAAAAACCGGGTGAGTCTTACTACGACTGGATGTCACATCTAGCCAAAGACTGGTTCTCTAATTCCCTGATAAAAATTATCGAATGCTATTTAATTTATAATTAACCAAACTGATTAATGCTGATTTAATTATTAATTTTAATTTTATCGGGTTCTGTAACATGCTATTGCGTCTGATGTCATATGTAGGGCATGGGAAGTTTTTTTACTCTGGCTTCTTTGCACATGCGTGCCACAGGCTCCTGGCTACTATAAGACTGCAAAAAATATTTATTCGTGAGTAACGGGCGATTTAAACAACTAATTTACAAGTAATAGAGAAAGATGAAATATTGCCATGAATTATCCCAATTTTCATGCGGTGTCTCGAAGAATTGAATATTTACTTGTGTAAGCATTTTTATATACGCGTTTTACCATGTACCACCGAATGACGAATTTTTACATGACCATGAGCCCTGTGGTGATGTGAGCAGTAGTGACGTAAGCCTTCATTAGCTATTGTTAATGAAGCTTCAGCTGCTTGACTGTAGACAATCTCATTACAACTTAATTATTTATTCCGCTAGCAGTGAGTACCTACGAGCAGATGACGATGTTAAAGCCGCACTATGCGCATCCAAACGCTGATTTCTCCAGTACTAGACTAGCAAATACTTCGTGTCATGCATAATCACACTACCTTATGGCAAAATAAACTCTAGTTCCTGCCATTTCACTGCGCGTTTGCTTAAAACCCACAAGAAAGAGGTGCGAAATCTGGTAATCTGGCGCCAACGCTAAATTGTTTACCAAACAATTTCGCCAAGAAACGGTTAGGTGACGTCACATGTTTTTATCTTCGCTACACCTGTACCGCTGTACCACAGCACCGCTGTGCGGTTGCTTGGCAGGGTAACGCGAAAGTGTCAACAACATCGGAGAATTTGAACAACATTGGAGGTATTTTTAAATGCCTTTTATAAGACAACGCGCAGTGAAATGGGAGGAAGATTATTTTGTCATAAGGTAGTATGATTATGCATGAGACGAAATATTTGCTAGTCTAGTACTGGAGAAATTAGCGTGCAGATGCGCATAGTGCGGCTTTAAGCGTAGTGTGGCGACCGGCTGCCTTGACATATCGTGTACCCACCTCCCACACATCTCGGAAAGCGAACTGTAGCGAGCGACACACTGTGTTACTTTTTTCAATCCAGAAATGATTAGTATGTGTCACAGTGTTGCATTCTAAATGTAATACAATTGCGCGTGTCTCGTAAAAGTGGTACGGGGACCGCCTGTAGGCGGTGAGGTATATATTCACTCATTATCCCATCAAACAATTAGACAAATTTTTTGGATACGATTGCTGAGTTTGGTGTCGATTATTCTATCGTGTCGTTCCTAAGGAAGGGGATATATCATTAAATATATAAATGCTTCCACGTAAGATGTGTAGGTGTAATATTTTTCCAGGGTTCCCACGGTCATTAAAAGTCATTAAAAGTCATGGAAAATGGATTTTGGTTTTCCAGGCCTTGAAAAGTCATGGAAAATGGGGAAAGTCATTAAAAAGTTCTTACCGTTGGAGGGGGAGACCCCCTCCCACGCCCTCCCCCCTCGGTCCCTTTGCTCCCTCGCACACGCTTGAACCACGTCTGTCCCCCCAACTTTGACTTGATTTGCGCCCCTGTGCACTGACTGATGCATCTGTGCCCTGTGTATGATTCGTTATTATATGCAAAATCTTCTCAAATTAGTCATTAAATTCGGAAATTTTAGTCATGAAAAGTCTTGGAAAAATCATTAAATTTCACTCCAGGTGAATCTCCTCCACCAGGCCCTCCAGGTGATCTGTGGGAACCCTGTGTTAATCTGTGCGCGCGACTGCGTGCGTGCGTGCGTGTGTGTGGCGTGGCGGTGTCACTCGCTGTGATATATTGTAGCGGCGATCATTGGTATTGGTATCATAAGGGAAGGGGGGTGGTATGGCGTAACCTCATATCACTGCGCTGTATATCATGTGTGGTGTGTGACCGAAGCACATGATCGCGAGTTCTTGGCACGCGCCCGCTAGGTTATTTATGTGATGCACATAAACTCGTGCAGCTGTTCTAATGTTGATCCCCGGGATGAACTCTGCTTTCAGGCTACGCCACCTCGTGCGTGTTTAGTGGAAGAATGGATGAGTCGGTGACGGGTGACCGTATTTTGTCGCGTGTGTGTTAGCGTCTTTTATTCTGTGCCTGTCCTCTCTGTCGCATCGTGTGGCGCATCGCTTCGGCGAGTAAATGTATAGTTCGCGCAAATCCTTGCCCCCCCGTCCTACGCGTGCAAGTAGAACCGAGTTTAGAACTCGCTGAGGAGTATGTGAAGTGTTTGGTTATTGATCAAGACGTCTAGACTTCCATCCGCAGATGGGAAAGGGCTCGCAGTGAAAATAAACCTCTGCCGCAGCATAATTTCTGGCCGCGTCGGCGGCGCTTCGATGCCCACATCTCCTGCCACATATAGATCTAACGCCCGTGCATCGCCGAGCAGTTCTCCGCTAACGCCTTGCTTCCTTCCTTCTCTACGACTCGCTGGAAATGTGGTTGTGGTTTACGTAGCGGACGAACGTGGAATCCTCGTATATATAACCAACCGTTCTCGTGCAAAGAACCGCGACCGTCCTCGCTCCGGTGACCGTGCAAAGCGCCGAGAAGGGGGTGTGTGCGTATACGTCAACGGTGATGTGATGCCTTAGCCCCGCATAGTAAAGAGTTGCCGTCCGCGGTAACGCCCTGACGATGAGCAGAGAACTCGTTTGATGCCGAGCGTGCGCCCACGGTGCGCCGATGGTGCCTGCTGCGTGGAAACGTTAGCGTTCTTATAGTTGGGGGTGCCGATAGCGGCCCGTCAGCGTACGAAATTCGACACCCGAAACGACAGCATGATGTGAGGCTTGCCCGACCGACAGCAGTTGAATAGCAGCAGCGTGCGCGTGAACTTGGTTACGCGTGCACGCACGCACGCAGACGCACGCACGAACGCATTTGACGTCGTGATTATAATAACAGGCCTTGCCGACCGTGAGGAATTCCGCGCATGCGTATGCGGTTTCTTTGGAGTTTTTTTACGGATTAAAAACCTGCTCTGTGCCGTCGCCCGTTCTTCGCTGCGTTCCCGGAAAAAATGCGCTCGCGAACAGGGACGATCGCGAGAGCACGTGTGTGTGTATCATGCAAAATTTAACTTGCCGCCCTCTGGGCGGTTTACCGTAGATCAATGCCGAGTGCGTGAGCGAGGGCGTGTGCATGCGTGTGTGTGACGCATCGGCAAATACAGTTAACGCATACGCAATTTGCAAAAGAACATGGAGTTGAGGTAGCTTCCTTCCCGGTGTCGTCCGAGGAGAAGGATGCAAGATTCGGCGGCGTCTTTCGCGTCACGATGGTAACCATCACGTACACTAAGCTGGTTGTCATACAGCTAGTTCTGTTTCTGCTTCATCCGACGATATGCAGATATGTGTATTTGATTTCCAGACTGCTGCTGGGCACCCTGTACCCCGCGTACGCGTCATATAAGGCGGTGAAGACGAAAAACGTCAACGAATATGTAAGTTTTCTCACTCTGATATGTACCTCGTAAGTTATTACTGTACTGCAGTAGTTTTTCGTTTGCTTTCGTTCACCCATCCCCCCTGCCACAATAGGGGCATTCTGTCGTGTGGCTGCAGTTACGTGCACTGCTCGGTAGAATAAGTTCACACACACAAAAACAACAACCATGTTTTCGTTGCCATTCTTTACATGTTGAATTGGTTGAATACGATTCTTTGGAAGCCCGTATTGCAGAGATTACTGTAGACATGTCTGCATCCCCATTTCTCAGTCTTTCTGTCTATTTATGCGGTCTGCCAATGTCTGTGTAAATGTTAATCTTCAAGGGTCAAATGTTAGTATAAATAGTAGTGGTAATTTCACGAGTTTTTCGTTTCAGGTTAAATGGATGATGTACTGGATAGTGTTTGCACTGTTTACAGCAGTGGAAACATTTGCAGATGTCTTGGTGTCGTTTTGGTATGTTATGTTTCGGTATATACTATATGACATTCAAGTGACGTCTTTAATAGCGTTAGTGTATATCATACACACTTGGTGCATTCTGCACCAACCTGATATCAATATTTATTGCTTTTTGCAATCAGGGTTTCTTTCGTGAACCCATTATCACCAGTATTTTACTTTACTTTACTCTACCGGTTTGTGATAACAAACTTTCAGGGTTTTTCTCTTCAAAATTGGCAGTATTCGTTATTACTTTACAGGATGCCGTTTTACTACGAGATTAAGATTGTGTTCGTGCTGTGGCTGCTGTCACCAGCAACTCGAGGCGCTAGCTTCCTCTACAGAAAGTTCCTTCACCCAACTCTTAACAAAAGAGAAAAGGTAAAAAAGAAAATAGTTGGCAGAAGATGGCAATATCAAACTAAACATATACATAATATGGTTAATATATTATAAACGGGCGAAAGAGGCAACGAAAAAACAAATGTAGTAGAGATACGTTGTTTGTTGGCTTCACTGAAATTTTTTCTGTGTTTTCATGTTCCTAAAATTATATTTATACTCGTATTTATTGAGCTTCCTGAATGTATTGAATTATTGTATCCCCCGCGACGAAGTCGGCGGGGATACTATGGTTTCATGTCTCCCCAGCCGCCGCCGCCGCTCGGTCCGCCGCAGAGAATTTCCCTTCCGCTCTATAACTCGACCCCTAACTGACCTAGCGCTACCAAACTTGGTATACTTACACATCTTGGGGAGAAGGTAAGCAGCGTACCAAAACCAGGTCACTGCAACCTTTATTTGACCTTGATCATATTTCCCTTCCGCTCTCTAACTCGGCCCGTAATTGACCTAGCGCTACCAAACTTGGTATACTTACACATCTCGGAGAGAAGGTGAGCAGCGTACCAAAACCATGTCACTGCGACCTTTATTTGACCTTGACCTTGACCTTGATCATATTTCCCTTCCGCTCTGTAACTCGGCCCCTAATTGACCTAGCGCTACCAAACTTGGTATACTTACACATCTTGTGGAGAAGGTGTGTCACGACTCACGTATCAAAACCAGGTCAATACGACCTTTATTTGACCTTGACCTTGACCTTGATCATATTTCCCTTCCGCTCTGTAACTCGGCCCCTAATTGACCTAGCGCTACAAAACTAGGTATACTTACACATCTTGTGGAGAAGGTGTGTCACGACTCACGTATCAAAACCAGGTCAATACGACCTTTATTTGACCTTGACATTGACCTTGATCATATTTCCCTTCTGCTCTATAACTCGGCCCCTAATTGACCTAGCACTACCAAACTTGGTCTACTTACACATCTTGGGAAGAAGGTGTGTCGCGTCCCAAAACCAGGTCACTACGACCTTGTTTTACCTTTACCTTGACCTTGATCATATTTACCTTCCGCTCTATAACTCGGCCCCTAATTGACCTAGCACTACCAAACTTGGTATACTTACACATCTTGGGGAGAATGTGTGTCACGTACCAAAACCAGGTCACTGCGGCTTTTATTTGACCTTGACCTTGATCATATTTCCCTTCCGCTCTATAACTCGGCCCCTAATTGACCTAGCGCGACCAAACTTCGTATACTTACACATCTTGGGGCGAACACAGGGGATACATGTAGTTGGCGACAACTGCCCTTTCTAGTTGAATCTATAATAATATCTGTTGCTACCACTCCTGCCGCTACCAACACTATGACCACCACCATCTTCAAAGGTCATCATCATCGTCATAACCGTCATTGTCACCATTGTCATCATCATCATCATCACTTATCATCGTCATCATCATCACCACTGCCACCACCATTGACTCCTCATCTATCCCACTGCAACAGCGCACTGTTATAATTATCAGACCATGTGTTTGACTTTGTGCATTGCTTTCGCTATTGCAGGAGATAGACGAATTAATAGCACGAGCTGGAGATCAAGGTTATTCAGCACTATGGTCCATCAGTCATAGAGGAATCAGCTATGCCTCTAACTTTGTCCTTCACACAGCCATGAAGGTAAGATTGATAAATACATGTGTAATCTCGTGTATGATATAGAACGAATACTGCTTCTACGTGGCACGCAGATCCTTAAAATGTTGTGGCTAGAAAAAGAAACGGAAGAGAAATGTTACCTGAAAATGGAAAATGGATTTTTATGTCCTTTAAATACATAATGGCCACATAAAAGCACACTACATAAAACGTATGCACGTGGGAACAATATGTCAGCTGATCGTCTCGAGGCTTGATGCAATTTATTCAAGCTACTCATGAGAATGGTCAATCCGTGGAGTAACGATACTGTTTTCTTTCACTCACGCTGCATTGGGACAGACGAGTCACTCGTTGTACGAGTTCCAAAGTCGGGTAAATATATGTCGTGTTGCCTGTAGAGCACTTAAAACTCTAGCTCTGCAGCTGTTCGTGCAGGCTAAGTCAGTCCATCACACTCTAAGTCTCTAACCCCCCGCTGGCACGGCGCTCTATATTTGGCTTCATTGGCAAAGACCTTGCCTATTTATCCAGGCTTACAGTAAGCGCTCGCTTCCGACTCAAGTTTACCTTTGAGCATACGGGTAAATGCGTGGCTGCACTAGTGAGTACTTCATCCATTTGTAGGCTTTGCCGTCACCCCGAATAGCCACCTAGACATTGCTTAGTCAACAGATATTGCATATAGTCACAGCTGTTGTTGATATACAGTAATGTTTGTATCTCTGAGTCAGCAGACGAAGGTCTTTGGATGCTATTTCCCTATTAAGTTTAGCTGTAATGTTCTCGTGCATTCCACGGATGTTCGTTATATGAATCATGTACATTGTTAGAGAGAGAAAGAGCGAGTATGTGTAGAGGATCAACGTATGATGCGCTTTCTGCGTGACTATCCCATCTGGTACAGCATGACGCATTTGCTTTTCATATCAGTAGTAGCTATTTCACGCCACTATCAGTATCAAGCAAGGTGCTTACTATTGATTAACGTCCGGATACGCGATCACCATCGCTATGTCATACTCCCGTGCGCAGATACTAATTTGCTCACTCAGTAGCCTAGAAACGCGATAGATAGAACCTGCATTTAACTGCACGTAATTTACGGCATCAATCTGCTAACAGCGTCCTAAGAGCAAAACTCTACGGCCCCGGCAGCCCCTTCCTCCGCGATCGCATCGAGATGTCATCAGGGTTGAGTCGCAACGTACCGAAAGTAAAGCCGTATTAAATATCGACTCAGACGTGATCATATGCTTTACCTCGAAGGCCCTAATTTAACCGCGAGCGAATTATTTCTATCGCGGTAAAAATAATCATTTCCGAGTACAGTAACCAACCACACGCGACCGACGCGTCGTCTGGTTTTGTTTATCCGCTCTCTCTCTCTCTGCTGTGACACACGTGTTTACTTCTGTGCGCACTGCAGGGTCAGACTGCGGTCATCAGTCAGTTGAAGCGCAGCTACAGTCTCGACGACATAGCCGAGCGGCCGCGAGCGAGCAGCCTTGTCGGCAGACCTGCTGAGCCCATCATCGACGAAGACGAGGAGATGAGCGAAGAAGGTGACGATTGGTCGAAAAAAATAAAAATAAAAATAAATATTAATTACGATTCTAAGACGCATTTAAGATTCATCAGGAAAATCGAGATTCTAAGATGCACCTGAGATTCGTCAGGAAATCGAGATTCTAAGACGCATCTGAGATTCATCAGGAAATTATAGATTCTAAAACGCATCTTAAGGGGGGGGGGCTTATGTTGGGCTTGCGAGCCGACTCGACTGGAAGCAACTGGATTTCGAGCAACTGGAAGCAATCTGCAGCGACTAGTTGCGTCCAGTTGCCCACTGTTCTATTCTGAGCAACTAGTGGCGGCCAGTCGCAGGCAGTCGCGTCGCAGTCGACCGACCTAAGCACTGCAGTCGCAGTGAATTGCTGCCAGTTGCTTCCAGTTGAGTCGGCTCGCAAGCCCAACATAAGCCCCCCTTTAGATTCGTCAGGAAATCGAGATTCTACGACGCATCTAAGATTCGTCAGGAAATTAGAGATTCTAAGACGCATCTAAGATTCGTCAGGAAATCGAGATTCTAAGACGCATCTAAGATTCGTCAGGAAATTAGAGATTCTAAGACACACCTGAGATTCGTCAGGAAATCGAGATTCTAAGACGCATCTTAGATTCGTCAGGAAATCGAGATTCTAAGACACATCTAAGATTTGTCAGAAGCTGCGATGATAAACCTGAGAGAAAGAGAACGCGTGCATTTCGTAAAATGTTTAGTGAACGACTGAAAATCTTGAAATTTTATGGGCTTGGTACCTCGAGAAAATAAAAGTCTGTATAATCGTTCTGGCTGATATCTAAGATGCTCTCGTCAAATATTAATGTTATGGGTAATTTTTCTCATGTGAGGTCAGATGCAGGTATTGTTACTGCAGGTTAATTGACTATTTTCACAAATTAATCATGACTCGTGATCTTTGAATACCATTCTTCTGTCTGTGCGGTGTTCTAAAGGGGGGCTTATGTTGGGCTTGCGAGCCGACTCGACTGGAAGCAACTGGCTGCAATTCACTGCGACTGCAGTGCTTAGGTTGGTCGACTGCGACGCAACTGCCTGCGACTGGCCGCCACTGGTTGCTCGGAATAGAACAGTGGGCAACTGGACGCAACTAGTCACTGCCGATCGCTTCCAGTTGCTTTCAGTCGAGTCGGCTCGCAAGCCCGACATAAGCCCCCTTAAAGGCATTATTGAGCAATATTTTTAACTTCATAATGCAGGGCGTGTGTGTGTGGGCTGTAACGTAGCAACTGTACTGTTTCAGACAACAGATACGCTGACGATCATGATGCTGAATATTCCGACCAATTAGATGAGAAGAAATCATATCATTCCAGGTTTGTATGCATGTAGTTAGCATTTAGTTACTTCTAGTTAGTTATGTAGCATTTAGTTAGCATTTAGTTAGCATTTAGTTAGCATTTAGTTAGCATTTAGTTAGCATTTAGTCAGCATGTTGTTTTAGTTACGTCTCCTGTGACAGTGAGACTGTAAAACTGGACTGCTATAATACATCGAAATGCTCTTGGTGTTTACGAGTCATTCACCAGTCAAACAGCTACAAAAGTTACACAGCTAATCTATGAGCAGAATTAAACTCGTCAGTTTCGGTTACCCACCAGTGGCTCGGATAAAAAAATGCAATTCCATTGTGTACTGTAGGTGAACTGGGGTAGAATCGTGCCAGATGCTCAACAAATGGAAATGAAGGGACAAAAACAATCGTAGCCCGGAGTTCTGTTTATTCTGTTTATTGTATTTGGCAGTAGATCAGCTCACCAGAAGAAGGTGGTTTCGAGACAGAGGAGAAGTCCAGAGCAACATCGTCCTCTCCAGGAGGAGGATCTTTATAAGTAAGAATTTATCTAAGAACATGTTAATAATATGGTCATAAAATTCCTGTGTTCGCGTCGACTTGATGCTACCAGATCGAAATACTTCTAAAGTATCGTAAGGAATTGTACCGCAGTGGAGTACACAGTAACATATAGTGAATCGGGCGAATTCGGAATACAAGTGTTCATCTGGGTGAATGTTCTCATGAGCAGTTGTTTTGTGTGAAACGATGGTGAGTAACGCAGGGCAGTTAATGCAGACTAGTTAGTTACAACAAGCTGGCCGGACACGGTTACGTTTCACTGCAATTCAGGACGTATGTTACGTTTGGGAATCATAGCATTTAGCATTGGAACATCCGTAGTTAACGTACGTACTGTATCGTTCGTTCACTGCGTGCTATTGTTATGGCACTCACACTAATGATGTATATAGGACTAAGGTGATGGCAATAATCTTGGGTTGACCTTGTTGCTAGGCGAGAGTGTTTCTTTCAGAACGGGAGCTTTTTGTTTGCATGCTAGCTCACAGGAAAAACCTGTATACTATTACTTTCGTTTCCTCTTCTGCGGTAGCATTTACAGGAGTTTACCATTTGTTTTATAGGAGGGGGGGAACGGGGGGGGGGGGTACATTCCCACTTTTCCAGCAAAAAACACCCAATATCCCAGTTCCCAGTAAAATAAAATCCCAATTTCCAGTTCCCAGGAAATTATGTAGACATGTTTCAGGAAATTCAGTAGTTTAGGTTTTCAA